AAAAAAAAACACTTCTGCTATTTCCATGTCGTAGATACCACAGCTGCAAACACAATGTGCATGCATGTCTCAGTCCCCTCAGCTCCTATCTCTCAAAGAACACTCCCACACTTGAATTGAATTGAAAGGAAGACATCTGTCCTTAACTGGGTTCCTTTACTTTCTTTTTTCTAAATGTATTTAATACAGGCTCTATAGCGTCTCACTACACAGATCAGACTCATGGTGATCCTCCTGTTTTCAGCCTCTCAAGTGCTGGGATTACAGGTACATGCACACCACGCCTAGTCTCAACTGCCATCTCAGTGCGCCCTGGTGGCAGAGCCAGCACGCACACCAGGGATTGAACCCTAGTCCCAGTGTCTGCCTAAACTGGTGCTTTAATCTGCTAAGCTACCTGGCCAGCCCTATGGGTTCCTTTACTTTTAACAGGCGAGATATTCAACAACCCACCTGACTATAGGTCAGCAGCACTGGACAGGGCCTTAAAGGTGAGGCACAAAAGCTTATCACTTAGAGCACAGGCTCTACAGTAATATTACTTGGGTTTAGATTCAAGCTTGAATACTTTTTTTTTTTTTTTTTTTGGAACCAGAGATTGAACTCAGGCCCTTGTGCTTGCCAAAGCACTTATTCTACTGTGCTATCTCCCTGGTCCCTCTTCTTTTTTTTTTGATAATTAATATTTTATTGCTTTAATTTTTTTTTTTTTTTAATGTTTTTGGTGGGTACCAGGAATGGAACTCAGGCCCTCACACTTGCCAGGCAGGTACTGTGCCTTGGCCACTTTCTCAAGTGAATGACATTCAACTTAAGGCTCATCTGTAAATTAAGGATACTAGATCTGTGTCCAGGAATCAATGTATGTGAGGCCCTGCATCATTAGCACTGTGGCTGTTACTGAGTTATCATGAGGATGGAAGCCATCTCACCGGTATGCAGCAGCATGTGTCGGATGAGCACTCTCTTGTGGGAAGTGGCAAAGCTGCACTCAGGGCACTGGTGGATCTTCTCATGAGCATGCATCTTGCCTACGTGGTCCTGATAGGCCACTGGGTTGAAAGTGGCAAAGGGGCAGAAGGTGCAGCGCAGCTCTTCACTGCCTGGGTGGCCTTGCTTCTTGTGTTTGCGAAATAAGTGCTTGTTGGAACAGGCAAAGTCACAGTGGGGGCAATGAAAGGCATAGTGGCTCTTGTGATGGGCCTCCATAGCTTCAGCTGTGGCAAAGAGCATGGGACAAGAGTGATGGCGGCACTCCACAGCCCGTACCCCATGGGTCTCCTTCAGGTGCCTTACAAATGCCTTGCGGTCAGGGGCTGCGTAGTTGCAGCCCTCCTGAAAACAAGGTAGGGGAGATGGCTCTGCTGCAGCTGCTGCCGTGTGGCTCTTGAGGTGCTCCTTGAGGGCCTGGCTGAGGCGGAACTCTTCATGGCAGACAGGACAGGTATAGGTGTCTGAGTAGAAGTTGGAAATATCCTCGTGCATGCTGGCCATGTGGCGGTTGAGTGCATTCTTCTCCACTGCACTGTAGTGGCACAGTGGGCAGCGGTGGGCCTTCTCACCCAGTTCCCGCAGCAGATGGGTTTTCAGTTTGCTCTTGCTGGTAAAGAACTTCTGGCAGTTGGGGCACTGAAGGCTGGGATCTGGGAAGTGGAGATGGAGGTGTTCCACTAGGTGGGTACGCTTCTTAAAGCAGCGCTTACACTCGGGACACATGTGTGTCTTGAAGAGAGACTCAGAGCCAGAAGCCACATCTCCTGAGGAAATGGAATACAGAGGGTTAGAAGTGAGATTTTTCAGTAGATCAGGGGCAGGCAAATGATGGAAAAGCTACAATTTGGCCAGACACAAATACCGTGTGGCTTTCCTATCAAGGAAACTAAACAACAGTTTTAAAACTATAGTCTCAAGGAAGGGAAGAGAAACTCAAGCATTAAGAGAAACCAAGCCACAAGAACTTCTCAGACTTTGCTGTGGCCTGTTTGAAGTGCTTCCCCTAGTCACCCACTGTTCCTGAACTTCTATTTGGAGCTACTCAGGAGAACAATCTGGATGCAGCACTATTCTCTTGCTGCCCTCGTGCTGGCTCAGTAGGGTTGATTAGAGGCAAATGTGCCCCAAAATGAATGAGCCAAAGGGAAGAAGGGTAAGTATTCTTTTGGTTCACTGAGCTGGTGGGTAAACAGGACTGGTAGTAAGTACAATCACATCTTTCCTCTTCATCTGGTAGTGAGCATGCTCTCTGGGGATGGGTCTCAGATGTCCTACTGAACTGGAAACATGGGAAGCAAAGGTTCGGAAGAGTCCTAGCAGGCTTACTGCCAGCAAACAGAATGCTGATCATCAATAACTTCTAGCATCTTAGTACTATGAACACCACCCATCCTTTGCCGCAACAGAGAAAAAAAGTCCAAAAGAGAAAACTATCGTGACCCTGTGTGACCAGCATCTTAACTCAAAAAACCATTTTTGTTTTTTAAAGTTTTTTTTATGTGCTGAGGAGATAGCGCAGAGGCATAAGCACCTAAGCTCACAACTACAAGATCCCAAGTTTGATCCCTAGGCCTGTATGCCGTGCTGGCCCAGAATTGGGTGTAGTGGCACATGCTTGTAATCCCAGCACTAAGGAGATTGAGACAGGAGGATCCTTGCAAGTTCGAGACCAGCCTGAGGCTACAAAAGTGAGCACAAGGCCAGCCTGAACTGCATAGCAAGACTCTGTCTCAAAAAAAAAAGTTTTGAGATAGGGTCATACTCTGTAGCCCAGGCTGGTCTTGAACTCACTATGGAGCCTGGGCTGGCCTCAAACTTATGGCAATCATCTTGCCTCAGCATCCTAAATGCTGGGAATATGGGACCCACCAAATCTTGACCTTCTTTTTTTTTTTTTTTTGTTGGTACTGGGGATTAAGCTTAGACCCACTGCACTGAGCTACATCATTAATTTTTTTTTTTAATAAAAATTTTTTTTCAAGACAGGTTTGCTAAGTTGCCTGGGCTGCACTCAAACTTCTGACCTTCCAGGTTTAGTGTACCATAATACTGGTATTATAGGCATGTGCTGCCACACACAGGTGACTTTTTTTTTTTTGAGATAGGGTCTTGTTAGTCCAGGCTAGTCTTAAAACTCTTCTGTTTAAGTGATCCTCCTGTTTCAGCCTCCTGAGTAACTAGGGCTACAGGCATGTGCCACCACAACTAGCAGATCTTGACTTTGGAATCAATGTAGAATAGAAAGAATAGAAGGATCTGAACCAAAGCTCAGAAAACCAGACCTGAGAGCCTCAATGCCATGCGCTTTGCTATTCACCTCTCTCCACCACCTAGAAATGTCATTACCTTCCAACTGTTGAGCCTGCACCACCTAGAAATGTCATTACCTTCCAACTGTTGAGCCTGCTGGCCTTTATCCAAGGCTTTCTGGGAGTCTTTCTGGGTCTCAGTCTCCTCATCGTCTTCTACTTCCTCCTCCTCAGCTGAATCCTGTCCAGGCAAAGATGGACCCGTTTCCTCTAAATGGTCTCCCTCTGCTGGACACAGTTTGGGAGATGGAGACACATAAATCTTGATGAAGTTTATGGAAGCCAATGATAGCACTGAAAGCTTGAACTTTCAGTTACTGGCTAATAGAATCACCCTCCTCCCCTTTTAGTGGAAAGGAATCTTGGGTTGTAAGTAAATAAATGTATTCCCACTTGAGAAGGGATAAGGATCAGGAGATAAGCTATCAGTAATAATCCAGTCTAAAGTAAATCAAACCTCAGAAAACATTAGCCAGAGGCCCCTTAAGGTAAGAGCTTTGAGGTCCCTGGGACAGGGGTAGGTCTGAGAGGTAGAAGGTAAACTGCACTTTGGTGGCTCAGGTTCCCAGGGCCAGTGAGCTTTTATTCAGTGAAGGTGAACACACTGATCACTCAACTGTTCTATTGAGAAGTCCACCTCAGTAAGCCATTGTCATACCTTACCCCTCAAATCTATCTCTTTTATTTCCCACAGCTGCCTCAGTAAGGCAAAGAGGTATGACTAGTGCCCAGGAAAAAGATCTTCCCTTTAGGAATTAGAGCTCAAGTGGGTCTCAGCAAGCCAAGTTCTCTCATCACAATGCTGTCCTCTTCTGGCCTGTTTTCTTTATTCCTCCTGCTCTTCCACTCACTCACCCCTTGCTGGGGTTTTTGTTGTTTTCTGAGACCAAGAGGAGTAAGAATCAATAAAGCACCACCTCCCTGGAAGGTTTCCTTTTAAAATAATCCCAGCTTCTCCTGCCAAATCCCACTTGTTCTAAAGGGAGTTTAAGCATTCTATCTACCACCCACTTTCACTTCTGCCCTCATAAAGCCCATCCTAAAATGGGTCAGTAGAGAATATTGTATAAATAATGTTAGGCCACATATAGCCTAAGTCACATTTTACTCAATGTCACAGACAAAGACTCACTCTTTCTTCCATATATTCTGACTGGTTCAAGGTTTCCAAGATGTTTTCTCATGCCATTCAGTAGTTCTGCCCTAAACTACTCTCTAGGTTTCTGAATACTCGTGCACAATCATGGTATTGGAAACAACTGTCTTTCCTGTTAGATCAACTCCTGCTATATCCCAGGTAGGGCAGTAGGTTTCATACCTGGCAGTAGTTCCTGGGATGGAAGTCCCTGGACAGCAGAAAGTTCTTCCTGTGTCCCAGCCCCATGGCTTCGCTGATGCTGCCGAAAAAGTTTGATGTTGGAGCCCATGAAGCTGCAATGGGTGCAGTGGAATGGGTAATGGGCCTGCCGGTGCAACTCCATGCCCTGCTGGTTCCCAAAAAGCAGGGGGCAGCCTCGGAAAGAACATGACACAGGAACCACTCCATGGGTCTGCCTCAGGTGGTGCTGCAGACCCTTACGATCTTCAGCAGAGAACACACAGCCAGACTCCGGGCAGCAGAAGGTGTCAAGAGTGGTCCGGTGAATCTTGAAGTGGCTCTTCAGGGCCTGTAGTTGGGCAAACTCCTGTCTACATACAGGACATGGTAGGGGGCTATCTGCTGAGCTTTTACCCTGCAGGGGGCCATGAAGGGTGAGGTTGCTGGCTGGCAGCTCTACAGAGCATGAGGTGCTGGCAACCCCCTGCACAGGTGGTATATTGGTCTCAGTGCACTGGTGCAGGGACAGCAGAGTGGGCTCTGCGAAGCTCTGTTCACAGCGCTCACAGAAGTATACCTCCACCACTTTTACCAGGACACCTGCAGGCAGAGGACCGACAGAAAGGCAGAGAATCAGACGGAAGGAGACTCTAGGAGCTAGTTACTAGTAGAAATGCAGGTGAGTCTTTTCCCATTCAAGGAGTGCAGATGGACTTCAAATCTGGCTTTGGACCTGGACTGTAAGCCAACAGGTCAGGAACTGGCATTAGTACTAGGATTTCTAGTGTCTAGCAAAATATCTAGCACAAGATGGGTGTTTAATGAATAAACAATGATTATATCCAGAAAGCATTAGAAAAGTCAATATATTTTGCCTGAAACAAAAATTAGAAACTTCCTTCTGGGTATAGTAGCACACGCCTGCAATCCCAGTACTAAGGGGGCTGAGGAAGAGGGATCTCTGAGTTTGAGTCCAGCTGTGGCTACATAGTGAGTTCAAGTCTAGCCTGACTACATAGCAAGACCCTGATTTAAACAAACAAACATTTCAAAAATTGGGCTATAATAAACTAGAATGAATATCTGTAATATAGAGGATAGCTGGACTTGGTAACACACGTCTGTATCCTAGTACTTTGGGAGCACCATAATTTCAAGCACAGCCTGGACAAATTAGCAAGACCTTGTCTCAAAACAAAAAATAATAAAGGGCCAGGAATGTAGCTTAATGTTGAAGTCCTAGATTCATCCTCCAGTGCCAAAAAAAAAAAAAAAAAAAAAAGAAAAGAAAAAAGAAAAAAAGAAAAAGAAAGAAAAGAGAAAGTGTCATTTTGAAATTCTGTAAAAAAGATTTTCAGGGCCCGGGGAGATAGCTCAGTAGAATAAGTGCTTTGCTGGCAAGTGCAAGGGGCTGAGTTCAATCCCTGGTTCCGCCAAAAAAAAAAAAAGTTTTTCAAAGGCACAGGAGTTTATAATGGAGAACATTCTTCTGAAGAGTTGAGGCATGTCTGTAGACACTGCTTACATTTTAACAGCAAAAAGCAGCCAGGAATGGTGGCACATGGCTTTAATCCTCGCACTTGGGAGGCAGAGGTAGGAAGATGGCCTCAAGTTCAAGGCCAGCCTGGGCTACACAATGAGTTAGTTTAGTTTAGGGCCAGTCTAAACTACATAGTGTGACCCTGTCTCAAAAAACTAAAACAAGAAAACACAAAAAATAACAACAAGAAATGATAAAAGCAATGAGCATAGCCCTGATAATGCTCTTTTGGTCCTCCACCTGACCTATGAGAAGGTGGACATGGGATTCCACAAGAGTAAGGCCATCATGTTTGTGAGTGGCACAGCCATTCATGACTCAAGCCCAGGTTTGTCCCACTTTCATTCTGCAGGCCACTTTTCTCTCTCTTTTTAAATTTAAAATGTTCAATACAACGATACAAAAGTGTATACAGGGCTGGTGAGATGGCTCAGTGGTCTAAAGCACCTACTTAGAACAAGCTAAGCTAAACAAAGCACAGGGACCGCGGTTCAATCCCCCAGCCCCACATGCCA